ATAAGTACTTGCAACGTGGGAATTATTGCATTATACCGCATGTAATTAAATCAACTTATTTATTTTAATCAACTAATTCAACCACACTATATTGAATTACAAATGTGTGGACTTCAAATTCAATTATCACAAAATGTTTCCATATTAAGTAATACAATAGGTATTAATTATTAAGTAACATATCGAGTAATTATTTTAATATCCCAAAATAATGTTATTCATTTTCAAAGCATTAAACCTTATTTTAAAATGTTCAACTATGCAGTTTAAAGAAATTAACTTCGTTAGTTCCCGTTTGGCTTGCAGCCATTTCAATTTGCATGCTAATTTGATTGATTTCATAGAGGACCCAGAAAACTTCTGTTGATTAGCTTTGTTTGTCTGCGGATTTGTTTATGTTTATTTCAACTTTCGGTGGATATTACTATCTCTGTGCGGAATGTTCGGTGAATTACCCGCCGGCTGTGTTTGCTCAATTTGAGCATATTTAAATATAATTTGATTTGCCAGTTAAATGGAAAATGATTTATTAAATGTGCGTGCGTGTGCATTGTGTTTCTCTTTTTATATTTTAATTTTACCCAGTGTCTCTCGTTTGCCTTCTGCTGATTATTATTGTAGTTTAATTAAAATGTTTATTGTTTTTATTTGTTGCATGTTTTCACTAAAATTGCAGCAAATTATTATGTGAAGGAAAAAAATGTAAACAGAGGGGAAAATTAATACAGAAATCATGTTCAATTTTTATCTGCTGAGATTTTAATCGGTTTTGTTGCAATTTAAGTTGTGGCGACTCGGGATTTGCTCATTAATTAATATTGGATTCTTTTTGTTATTTAAACTTTAATTTAATTTTCTTGATTTTAAAATATTTAAAGTGAAGTTCTCGATAAACATTATAGCATTTTCTAATAATAGAAAGTTTCCAAATAGTATTAAAAAATATTAAAATATTTTTTTTTTGTTTTACTGGATTACTTTGCTTCTCGTCCCCTGAAAATGTCGCCATTTAAAATTGGTTTTTACATGCTGCTGTGCACACGCGTGTAAATCTGGTCAGTTGATTTACCATATGTATACGACCATATATATGTGTGTATTATTAACTGAAACTGAACTATCAAGCTCAAACTCAAACCCCTTTGTTTCATGTAACACTGAACAATTTGGATTTTGCGGTTGCCGGGGTTGATTGTTCGTTAATTGGTTCCAATGCCTTGCAAACCGCACTGGGCCTTCGTTTTCCCTCCATTTCGCTTGGGTTTTGCCAACATCCTGCCGCCATTTTCCACCCGCCACGCCCACTTTCCCCATTTCACCCGAGGTGGGGGGGGGGGGCGAATTTATTGCACTTGAACTGCACTCGAAGTGGAGCAGAAACTGTAGACGACGTAGGTCAGCCTGAAGAGTTCTTCTTTTGCGTTTTGTAATTGGATTAGTTCAAGTTTTTTGTAAAGGAAAATCGAACTGTTTAAATATGGTGTCATAATTGAAGTTACTAAAAGAAATGGTCATGAAAATTATTTGCAATTTGCTGAGTCAAATATAATTTTTAAATGTCTAAAACCAAACCATTTTTATATCAAAAGCTATTTATAAATTTTGTTGTCGATTCAAAAAGAATTTTGTATAATACTTGATATTACCAGTTTTTTTCTTACTGCAAATCACTGTTTTTGTTAAATTGAAAAATGGTACAACATATTTTTTTAACTTTCTATATTTTTGACTATCACGCCGTCATCTCTGAAAGCCTAACTTCCGATTTGTCTTACTTGCTTAATCCCTCTTTAATCCCTTCTTTTTTTAATTTGATATACATATTTCCATGCCCTGACCAAACGAGCCAGGAATAGGGATAATTTAATCATTTCCGCATAATTTATTTAACGCTCTTTGAACGTTCTCCAAAGTCAAAGTTTTCTAAGCCTACAAAGGAAGGGAGAGAGAGACGGGAAGACCGTCAGGGGAAAGGGACGGCAGATACGTTTGCAAACTTAAGAAGACTATTATTGTTATTATCCCACATTGTGGCTGCCTTTGCAAGTCGTTGACTTTGTCCAATTGAGCTCGATGAATTTGTTAACTGCGTTGATTATTGGCATTTATTATTAAAAATAATTCACAGTATTTGCCATTGTTGTTAATTTTATAATTATTATTTGCTGCTCTCCGGTGGCCTTTGAGTGGGCCAAATATTTGTGCGTGTACAGACAAAAACAAGGGCTACATGAAATTGCAATTAAAAGCCCAGGCCCGAAAGGCATTTTGTGCATGAAATATTCCGGCACGGTGGGTTAAAGCCTTTATCAGAATGAATCTTCATAGGTGAAATACCATTTTATTTAGGTTCTTAAATACTTCTAACTCATCTCTGTTTTATAGTTATTTTGTGTTATTTTTTTCAGATTTTATAGTATTCTGTATCTTTCTTGGTAAATAAAGTATTTGCTCCACAGTCATATCGAACAATTTAAAGAGCCTAACGTTTATGAAACAATTAGCTATTCATGTATGTAAATAATTACATTTCCTGTTCAGCTCTGTATTCTCCAGCTTTAACAGCGGAAATAGTAGGCCATTTAAAATTTAAAGAATGCTTATGAAATATGCAAAATTGAAAATGTAAATTAAAGTCAACTTTTATATAATATTTATTTATCAATTATGTTTACACAGGCATAAGAACCTCAAATAATTTTTGGTCCAGCACTCGTGTTCAGTCAGAAGAACTTATAAGGACTTAATGGAATTACAGCCGACAAAAGCTTATGCTTTTCGTACTCTTTTTTGCACTCTGGTAATTTTGCCACCCCCGAAAACTTCCAAATTCGGAAACTAAGCAAATAGCAGACCGTAAAGTCAATGGAAGAGCAGCTGCCATCGCCCGTCTCTCTCCATGGGGCACTCCCCGTCTCTTTCGCTCCCCGTATAGCCGTCTCTTTCGCCATATGCATGTGGTCGCCTTGGGTCATTGATACGTAAACGAAAAGCATGAGAAAATTGACAAATAGGCGACGCTCAAATATTTGCACACTCAAAGCCCACACTCTGGTTAAAAAAAAAAAACGAAAGAGAGGGGGCGAGTATAAGCGATAGAGATAGCAATATCACAAAACAATGAACTTTATTCAGCGCTTTACCATCTTATCTTATCCAAAAATGCTAATATTTACCTTATCCCACAAAAATTCCAGACTGTTTCTTCATATTTTGCATATTTATTGTATTTGTGCTGTACAGCCACACAAAGAATAAACTTTTCCACACTCTTAATGCGCGCAATTAATTTAAGTACTACATTATTTTAAAAACAATAAACATGGCCAAATCGGCGAAGCTATAAAAGAGAACAAAATCCCGAAATTGTTTTATGGCCGGCGAAAAAGTTTAGTTATGGCAAATTAATTCGTTTCCGAATGGGTAAGTAGTTCACATGACTAAATCAGCGCGATTTCCGCGTGATAAATGGACTTGGTCAAGCGGGCCAATTAAAGTTGAAAGAGAGGTTTTTTAATGGTATTTAAGCTAACCTATTGGTTTAGGTCATTTGTCTTTTTTTGTTTTGGAAATTTGCATATTAATGTAGCTTTTTTTAAATTAAGTTATTTGACTAGATAATTTAAATTAATTTAAGTTTCAAATAATTCAGGTATTTCCTTTTTCGCCATAATTCCGTCGACATCCTTGCCATCATTAGTCAATCAAACTTCCATTAGAAAGCCAGGCAAATAGAGTGTCATCCACTTGGCCCTCTCTTTCGCTCTTTTTGCAGCCATGTCTTTCTGCAGTCTGGCACTGGGACATCTTTGATTTTAATTGCATTTCCATTTTGCCCCCGATTCAATCGCCACTGACATTCGACTTCGATACTCGACATTCGTAATTCAATTGTCCAATTGTCCAACCATCCCCCCCCCCTATTTCCACCGATTGGGGGGATAGAAAGAGACGGGGAGTTTGTCGAAAATGTTGATTCAATTATTCAAGGTGACGACGCATCTCAAATAATTGAGTTTCGATTTTATCATTCGGCTCTTTCGAGCTCCCTTATTTTGTGCCATTTTACAATTTGATTACGTCAGACGGGCTGGGCCCCCGGTCACGCCCCCTTCCGCCCTCCGCCCACCGCCCACCGCCCATGGCAACATTGTCAACTTTGATTGACATTCAACTTCGACTGACAATTGACCGTCAACAATAAATTGTTGCATGCAAATTGTCGTCAAATCAACAAAATCGGCATGGAAATGGCACAGAGAAATGGACACAAACAAAAAATAAAAATAAAAATTTGCAAAAACAAGAAAATTAAGTGACAGAGGAAAAAAATTAATGAATGTCACTGGTTGGCGCTGGATAAAAACAATTCCCACTTATTATTTGCGGTCGAAGGGGGCTGTCGAGTTGCAGCCTATTGATTATAATGGCTTTCGAAACAATAAAAATATTTCCATTTTAGCGGTGGCAAAGTTCAGATAAGAATGTGCATATATCCATTAAAAAATTGATATTAATTCGATTCACTTGCTGAATTTAAGGCAGGGCTATGGATTTTTATGACTCACGACTACCCAATGTTTCGTTTTCACCAGCACAACCAATTCATAATATTAAACCTAAGGCATTGTAATGACAGACTGTTTCAATTCAATTTAATTAAATAATTTCCCCAAACAAACCCCATGAAGAACCTCCATTTTAGTGACTCTATTACCAATTCCTCCACTACTTGCTCTCACTTCTGCCATCGCACTAGTTAAGTGTAGCAATTTGTGAATTAATAAACTTTGATTAGAATGTTTGTGGACAAATACCCGAACAAAGGCCGAAACACACACAGAAAAGAACAACATAAATTCCGGGGAACATAAATAGAGCAAAACAACGACAATGGCCAACGAAGGCAACAAATAGCAACGATAATGTCAATTATTATTAACACGAAAAGCGCACGCACTCGATCCACAACCGCCACAGCCCCGCCCCCATTTTCCCACCGCCTTTTTCGGCCATGCATGAGCAATTTTCGTGGTCAATGGCGTCGAACAGCCCACATCCCCACCCACTTCCTCTTGACCACAGGCACGGATGACAGCCACAGTGGAGATTGGATGGACTGCTTGCATTTTTTGGTTCAAGCAGAGCACAAACTTTTTTAATGATACAAAATAATATTTAAAAAATACAATTTATAGACAATATAAGGTATATGTACTCTCCTTAATAGTTTTCAATAGTTTATTTTAAAGTAAACCATTCATTACGTTAAAATGTATATATTTACTTCAATAAAACAGAAATACATTAATAATTGCTTGTTTATTCCATTGAAAATTGTCGGTAGTATGAAAATGCGTCACTTAGGACATAATATATATGATCTATTGCATTTACTTTAATAAATACCAAGTATATGAATGAACAGTTTTCAATAGTTCAATTTAAAGTAAACCATTCATTACGTTAAAATGTATATTTTCACTTCAATAAAACAGAAATACATTAATAATTGCTTGTTTATTCCATTGAAAATTGTCGGTAGTATGAAAACGCGTCACTTAGGCCATAATATATATGATCTATTGCATTTACTTCAATAAATACCAAGTACATGAATGAACAGTTTTCAATAGCTCGTTTTAAAGTAAACCATTCATTACGTTAAAATGTATATTTTTACTTGAATAAAACAGAAATACATTAATAATTGCTTGTTTATTCCATTGAAAATTGTCGGTAGTATGAAAACGCGTCACTTAGGACATAATATATATGATCTATTGCATTTACTTCCATAAACACCAAGTATAATAACTACTTTTCAATATATATTATTAAAAGTTTCTACGTCGTTATAGACCAAGCCATATCCACTGTAGTAGGAAAGTGCGGGTCTGGGTAGTAGTGAGGTGGCTACGCTGGCGATACAATCGGCTACAGTCGGTGACCGGCACTGGACAACAACTAAACAACTGTGGCAAAAACAACCCAACAACCGGCCACAAATCAAAAATTCTCATTTTGTTGGGGAGGGGGTTGGGAACCCCCTTTAATTTTGTATTGTGTGCTGTTTAAATAGCCGAAAATTGCCAACATTTAAATGCAGCCAAGTGCCACGCCCTTAATTAGACGGCTTATATAATTTTCGAAAAACACCCCCCAACTAGTTCGTTAGCGTGTGTTTGTGCCCGTTTTAGTTCGACTGACTTTTGGCTAATTAATAGGCGCGTGTTGCCAACAATATGCGAAATCTACGTGGCCGACATGGTTTTTAACAAACTGTCCAAAAATCCCAAAAGTTTTCCAACCAAAAAAAGAAGAAACATTGCCCCGCCGAAAAGTTTGTTCCAACTTTTTTGGAACCCAGATTTTACTCTCGATTTAGCAGAGGTTTCCGAAATAGTTTGGCAGCAGGTAAAAACCATAACTTAACGATAAAGTTGATCTCTCTAATTTTAGAAATAAATTATAGTTAATAATTTAAAAGTTGTAATAGTCATTTGAACCGTATTCTAATATATTCAAAACTTGTTTGCTACTTTGTATAACTAAATTGTTTGCCCATGTAGGAATATCTCCACCAATGAAGCTGTCAGCGTGTGCTTTTGATAATTTATTAACCAGGCAAATGGAAAAATAGAAAACATTTTAATTGAATGTAAGAGAAATAAATTGAATCCGCCTTAAACAAAACCCTCATCGCATCGAGGGCCTCAATCAAATTAAAGATTTATGATCCCCAGGCAAAAAAAAAAAACAAAACAAAAAATCTAGACAAGACAATGAATATCAATTAGGCGGCGAAAGGGGGTTAAGGCGGGGTCGGGGGGCATTTGGACCCCCAGCTTTTGATTAGATCAGCGGGCGGACAAAGGGAAAATGAAAAGGTAAAATGAATAAATATTTTCTGTTGCTTCTAATTGACGTAAATTAATAAGCAGTCCCCATCTAATGTCACTGAAAGTCACATTCACAGAGCCCCGAAAAGGTCAGATATCTCCGTCAATGTCAAGGAGCACAGAGGGCTGCCTTATCAACACTCAAGGACCAAGCGGAATCACCATTAAAAATGTAAGCACTGGCCTTAAATTTGATTTAAATTCCGACGTTTTTTAAGTATTTTTTAATTTGTTTCTTCTTTTGTTGGGCGGATTCTTTTTTTTTATCTTTTTCATTTTTGTATTTAAATTTCTACTTATACTTTCTGTTCTGGCGTTTTCTTTTTTCGTTTTTTTTTTGCCATCTGCGGGCGGCCGGAGTCATTAAGTCAGCTTTGTTCCGCCTCAATGCCGGCCCCGCCCCCTATTTTCCGACCCCCTACACCCCCCCCACACACACACAGAATAGAATCAAAACAAAGGCAAACAACAACAGCACTGGAAACAGTGAAAAAAATTAAATAAAAAACGAAAAATGTGACAGCAATTAAAGCCGGAGTCTTCTTTTTGAGATGGGAGCAAAAAAATAAAAATAAAAATAAAACACGGAATGGGGGACATTCTCAATTGCAAATGAGACACAATCAGATGAGGCTGCTGCCAAAAAAAAAGATCAGGAAAAGCGGAAAAGCTAAATAGGGGAATATATGTATATTCGACTAGATAATTACCTCTTAAAGTGCAATTTCATACAAGGAATTATTTTAGGGTAAAATACATTTTAAAGCTGCTTGTAAATAAAAAATAATTATTTTTGAGACTGAATTGCTTTTTAGAAACATCGCTGAAGCAAATATAAAAATTCCTGAAAATTCTGTAGCGTGATATTGCTATGAAAAATACATAAATCTATTTATGCAAAACACGAAGAGATCCTTTCGCTACTCTGCATTATCATTTCATTAATCTTGCCACCAGTTCTCGCCTGCTTCATTTGGGCAGTACTTAAGCATAAAAAATTAAGCTAAAAATAAAAATGAAAAAGAAAACAGAAGGCGGAAAGAAAAGAAGCTCATAATTGCACGCTAAACGTCATTTGAGTGGACATTTTTGTGAAAAACAACTCCAGCAACAAAGTCAAAGGGAAGTGCTATGGGTTACAAAAAAAAATGTGGGCGGGGTGGGCGGCATAAGGTGGAAAACTCGGACCCAGCTTGGAATCTTAATGAGTGGGCGGCAGATGGCAAGTGCGGCGGCACCAGAACGAACCCAAATCCCGGCCAGAGTTGGACAAAAAATGGTAAAAACCCAAGATCGGTCTCGAATTTACATTGCCCTGGAATCTCCAAGTATTTCACTATAATTTATATGGTAAAATATTTGATTTAAATAAGCTTCTTTTAAAAGATTACATATTCTATGCTTACATTTTCCATTAAAAGGAGCACCTTTGAGGTTACCTGAATATATTTCTACATGTCAATGTGTATTTACCTGCAAATAAAAATAAAATATATTATTTTAAATGGTCAACTTATTATCTTAGTAGATTATTAAAATATTAATTAGTTCATTTTTAAGAAAACATAATTTAAAACAAATTTTTTATAAACGTAAGTAAAATATATGTGCTTTAATAAAGAAAACATTGTTCTTAGACCGTATATATAAGATATATAATTTCAATAATATTTAATTTAGTATTTATTAAAAATAATGGAATAGAATTTAGATGAGCTGCTTTTTTGCTCCCTTGGTGATTTAAAAAACACCTTGTGAAAATATTTCTCGTGGAAATGCCAGCTCCATTTAAACCAAGTGAAATGTAATATTATATTTAATTGGCTGCCACAGTCGCTGTTTTACTTGTCATAATCGTAATACCCTCTTTATTCCTGGATGGCCCACAGGTAACTGGGCCGCCATAAAGGGGGCGTGGCATTGGGGGAGGGGGCTGTGGGCGTTGGGTGATTAACGGCGGGTTTCGCGTGTTTCCTCAAAAAGTAAAGTAAAAGTAGTGGGCAAACTAAGGTAAAGTAAAGGCAAAGGCAAAGGTGATGCTGCCTGCATCGGGTGGAATGTGAAGCCAAGTTAATTTATAAACACTGAAGATACTTAGGGGACTGCAGATACTGGATATACTGGAGAGAGAGAGGAAGTCCGACCGATGGCAAGTTGAAATCCCAGCCAGAGGATGAAGTTGCAATCGAGGAGGAACAGGAGCTAAATAAGTGGCAGATGAAGTGCAAGATGATATCCCGAAGTCACCTTGACTGGGCCATCAGTGTGTAATCAATCATTGAAGTGGCTTCGCCGGAAAGCGGGGGTTCGGGATTTCAATCCAAAGTCTGGCAAGTAATTAAAAACTTCCCTAGCGACAAAAACGTACAAAAGAGTTGTGCAATTTGTCTAGGAGAGGGGCAAAAAATGAACAAATAAACCCTAGAAAAATGGGCTTCATTGAATGTGATTTTAATGGGGTTTTATAGATTCACCCCAATAGATTTCAACACCAGAACATTTATGCAAAAGTGCTGGCAATTTTCGAAGACTTCCCAAGGGGGCTTTGGTATTTGCAATTGGCATTTTGCATTCTGCATTTTGCATTCGGCAGTCGAATCTGTGATTGAGCAACTTTGGGGGCTGGGTTCTCAGCCTCCTTCGTGGGTAAGGTTATTTTGGAGTTGGTCAAGAGCTTTGGCCTATAGCATGTGGTATATTGCTATTTTTCAGCAAAGATGCCATCTATCGTGTGTGTGTGTGCTTTTGGAATCCATGAATGAAGCTGGCTAATGGTTATGGCCAGGCTTTAACGGAGCAACTGGTTCTGCCATCATCATTATCATCTCTTGGCTTTGCACGTTTTTTAGCCATTTGAATGTCGGCTACACGGAGAACTACGGGTTCTGAGTGAAAGAACAAATATTTTATTTCCTTTTATTGGGCGTACTTATTCCATAATTTGTTAATATTTCTTTTTACAAATCTTCATTACTTAAGGGAATTTATTGGAATTTATAAATTTGTATTTTTAATTATACTTTTGGGTATTTTTTATGGATTTCCTGGAATTTCTGCCAGTGTAAACACCTCGACTAACTAAACTGCATTCAGTTTAAATGTGTCACATGCCGAGAAAGAGAGGGAACGACTGGAGCTACTTGAAATTTGCATTGCAAAGTTGCTCCCTCTTTTACTATTTCTATTTTTTTCGTGTTTTTTCAGGTTTGGCCGGAAGGCGAAAATGCCGCCGCTAGATGTCGCCACTCGACTCGTGCCCTCTCTTTCGCGGCAACGCATGCCGTCTCTTTCGCGTTGCGTGTGCCGAGTGAGTGTTGACTTTTATGGTCATTGACTTGTCCCCTCCTGTCACTGTGACACACAAATATTGCAGTCATGCCACAACACCCAGGCATCATGCCCCCTGCCCCCTTTCGCTACGCCCCTGGGTGCCACCTGTATTTTACAGGAGCTAATCAAGCGATTGCAGGTACAGCTCTAATTCAATAGCACAGTTGCGAATCCCCTTTTGGCATTTTAAAACGCACTTTCTGGAAAACCTTTTAGGACAATTTGGGTATGCGAAAAAATATGAATTATGGGTGTTCTTTGAAATACCAAAAGTATGTTTAGGCCAAAAAAAGAAGGGTGCCAAATTTAAGCCTTTAGGAGGCAAACAAGGGTACATAATATAAAAGAGATGGGGTTTTCTTAATATATAAGTGGTTAAAAAATTAAGTTACCTAAAAGTATGCAATGCAACATTTTCTTTGAACAAAAAATATACTAAAAAATACTAGTTCACATTAAAACATATTTTTTACCTACTTTTATATTTGTTCTTCATCACTAAGAATGCCGAGCCCCAAAAGATAATACTTCGACTCAAGTTCAATATATTTAAATTCCCAAAGGCCACCATTTTCAAGTGGCCACCATTCGACTCGTATGCAAATTTAAATTGTGTCCAGCTATTCGATACCTTTTTTTTATATTTTTCATTCGATTTAATTCTTTTTTTGGGCGGTGGGACCGCTAAGAGCATTAAGAGGAGCAGGGGGCGTGGCCGATCCGGAGGAGATGCAAAAATAACGTTAAATGTATAAATTCTCGCATTTATTTCATCGCATCGGCGATGCAAATTCGTTTATGCAACTCGATAAAAAAAAACAAGACACACACACGCCCAAAAAATAACAAATAAAAAATCCGGAAGGTTGTCCGCCAAGCGGGAGTTGCGAAAAAGTAATCATAAAAAATCACGGCCCAAATGGTTTTTCCTCTCGACCAAAAAGAACACGGGTGTTGATGCCTATGGGGTGTATGGAGTGCTTTTTGCGCTTTTCACCCAGAAAATTGTGCCATTCAATTAATTTTGCTGCCGTTTGGCATACACTGCGTTTCGCAACAGTAAAATGAATATTTCAGAAAGTATTATTGATGTATATAATTCTCCACCCATATCAGGAATCAGGAATATCGAAAAATATTTGGTTTACTTAATTATACTTTCAACTTAACTATTTTTACACTGTTGATACGCACATTACTTTAAAATAACAAATGTAGTTGATCCGGCGAACTTCACAATAATTGATGGTGAAATAAAATAAAGGTAGCACAAATATATGTATATATTTAATAAAAATATACAAAAGGAAATCTACAGGTGTTTCGAACAGCCGACTGTCGCTAATAAATTTTCCATTTCTACCCAATTAATAGTGGGAAACTCTGTTCATTAGGCAAGTGGAGGTTCCCAAGGAAAAAATGCATTTAAAAAAAAACTAGTATTTTTTGGCAAATTAAATTCGTTCCGTTTTGGCGCAGGACCCAATTTAATGGTTGATTAAAAAATAATAATAAACAACAGAGACCTGGGGCTTGAAAATCGATTTAATCCCCCTGCCTGCCCCAAAGGCTTGCCAAACTATTTGCTCAACGCCCATCGAAAATAAACACAAAAAAATAATGTTTATACATACGTATATATGCCGTACATGAAAGGGAATATTTTAAAACTTAATAATGTTTGGGAATACGGCGGAATATCGAATGACGAAAGGCCGGAGTGCTGGCTTAATCGAGTTGCTATCAATTAAATCGGAAGGGGTTTTAAACGTTCGTGAGATAAAGTGGGAAATATAATCTATACTCTTAAATATTACATTTCTTTTTATTAAATTGCCTGGAAGCCCTGTAAGTTCTATAGATTTACTTTTCAGTAAAGTCATTGGTAGTACATTTATTTATTTACTATTATAACTATCCTAGCGCGCCAAGTTGATACATATATTTATCGCTAGGCCCGATAAATTGTTATTTATCGATGGTTTAAAGAACAAACTTTGCTTAAATCACTGTTTAAATTGATGTAAAACCTAATGTTGACCAAAGCGCCGCAAAAATATTTCCATTATTTTGCATTAAAAGCCCGCCATTGACATATGCCCTTAAT